TTTGAGGCTTTTTTTCAAGCGGTGCGTGGCTGACCGGCACGGGAAAGGCGGGATCGGTGGAGTGGGGATGCGGAGGTAAGGCTTTCTTAAGTGAGAGGGCGAGCTCAGCGGCCACTGTCTGAAAAAATCTGTGGCTCCGGCGGAAGCGGCCCCACTACCCCTCCGCGCGTTGGTGTGCGGAATGGTTGGAGGGGGGGGGAGCTCGCGCGACCCCTAGAGCCGTCGAGTCAGCGCGCGTCAACGATTCCTAGAACTCGTTGAAGAAGATGTTCTTCTTGGCCCGGAGGGTCTCCAGCAAGTCGTGCACGGCCCCTCGGCGGGGACCGTGGACTCGTCCACCACGATGTGGCAAGCGGTATTCTGCAGCACCTGGGTGAACACTGCCACCAAGGCGTCGCGCGCCGCGTGCGCGGTGAAGTCGCACATGTTCTCTGGGAGGGCCCGGACCTGATTGATCAATGGGATGGAGGACTGGTCGAACGCCGCGCGGAAGGGGCATGTGCGCCCGCTCCAGCCGAAGAGGGCTTTCGTCTCGCTGTCGATCTCGATCGTGGCCTGGATGATCTTCCTCCCGAATGGAGGGCTGTATGTGAAGATGTTTACCGGGGGCTTCTCCTGCTCGGCGCGGATCTCCGTCGGAAGGGCCATGGCTCCTGCGTCGCAGGTGGTGAGGTCCACGTCGTCGCGGTGATGGGTGATCACCTTCATGGCCTGAGCCGCGGGCCATCCCGGGGGCGCCTCCTTCGGCAACGTGCGCGCCCGCCGCCAGGAGAAGTATAGTCGTCGAGAAACGCCGGAACGTTGCCCGCACCTTCGTCGGGAACCGCGGTCCAGAACGCGACCGTCCACGCCTTGCAGGAAAGGAATTGGGATGCGGTGGCGCGCCCGGCGGGCGACGGCCACGCGGGGAGGGGCCATTCGACTGGGACAGGGGGACAGGGGGAAGGGGGACCGGTGAGCGGCGTGGAAGGAATGCGGACCCCCTGGGAGAGAGTTTGAGAGGCGGTGACGTTTGCGAGGAGTGGTCGGCCCAGTGCCGCCTCGATCGGCATGCCGAATTCGTCGTCGTCGGGCTTGAGGCTGATGTTGACCGAGATGTGCTGGTTGGTCTTCAGCTCCGAGAGGCTGCCGGGGAAGTCGGCATTGTTTTGATGCGACGCCTGGAGGAACTCGGGCAGCGTCTTGAGAACCTGGTACGTAACTGTCGGCCACGCGCTGTGATTGACGAGGAGGCCCCACAAGGGGCAGTTGGGCCACGTCTCGTGGAGCAGGCAAGCATTCTCCGTGTACTTGAAGACGCTGATCTCGATGGGGGCATTCGCCGGCTTGGGCTCCGGGCGCTGAGGGCGCGCGGGTGGCGACGCCGCGATCTGCTGGCTCGCGGCGGCGGCGAGGCTCCGCAGGCTCGTCCGAGGCCGTGCCGCGGGCGGCGCCCTAGCGGGCTGCGCCCCAGCGGGCTGTGCTGGAGCGGTCCTCCGCTGCGGCGTGAAGACCATGGTCGGTGTCCTTCCGGGATTGCTTGGAGTAGACGTGGTCAGGAGCTGTGTCGGCAGCGCGAATTGCTCGGCGGTATGAGCTTGAGCCATGTGTGTTTTCGGTGGGGGCAGGGCGGCGATAGTGATGCCGCGCAGTGGGGGCTGATGACGACGACGACGGCGACGTCGACACCGATGGCGATGACGGCGAGGGGGGCAGTTTGGAGGTCTCTTGTGATCACCTCGGAAGCCCTTTGGAATGTCCCCGGGGGCCTCTTCGGACGGAATTTCGGCCCGTTCGGACCCTCTTGGGGCCCTGGGGGGTCTCCTGAAGCTGCTGGGGCCTGTCTTGGGACCTCGGTTTGTGTTTCGGGTGCAAGCGGGTGGCTGTCTGAGCCGGGCCGTGCCCCCCTTGGGCCCCGGGCCGCGCGCACTGCCGAGGATTGCTGTCCGAGAGATGCTCGTTGTCGACGTCGCCGTCGCTTCACCGTCGTCGTCGTCGCCGTGGGCGTCGTCGTCTGAGTCGTCGTTCGAATCGGCGTTTTTGTAAGGATCAACACTCGGGCGTCTGCTGATCCCTACCAACTCGCTGTTTCCGCGCAGGAGGCCCTGAGGGCGCCGTCGGGCGCCGCGTGGTTGTCATCGTTGTCGACATCGTCGTCGCCGCTGCAACCGTCGTCGTCGTGTGCGTCGTCGTCTGAGGCGTCGTTGGAGTCGGCGTTTTTGTAGGGATCAGCACTCGGGCGAGCGCTGATCCTTGCCGGCACGTTGTTTCCGCCCGGGAAGCCTTGAGAGCGCCGTCGGGCGCGGCGCGGCCGTCATCGTCATCGACATGCGAAGGTTTGGGTGTCCGGCGAGGGTGAGCCGGCGAAGCGGTATGCGGCCGCTTCTCTGCAGAGAATGCAGGGCGGACCAGCGGCGAGGGAGGAGGGGATGAGGAGGAGGAGGAAACTTAGGAGACGGAGGGAGATAGGGAAGTTACTGTGCTAGCCGAGCCGTTGAGACGCTATTTCCCACTCCTTCTGGGCGGCATCGTGAGCCGTCTGGAGCAATCTTGGAGCCTCTTGAGCCGTCTTGGGGACCTCCTGCGCCTTCTTGGAACCCTCTGGGGAGCCTCCTGGGCTGTCTTCAATCCTCATGGACGCCCTCTTGGGCCGTATTGGAACCGTCTTCTGGCCCTCTTGGGAGCTCCTTGGGCTGTCTTAGGGTGATATTGGAGGCCCTTCGGCCGTCTGGGCGAAACGGAGATTATCGTTGAAACATTCTAACGACATTGACACATTTAGCTTCTTGAGGTCCTCCTGGGGACTCTCTTGGGGCCGTCTTGGGGCATCATATGAACCTTTGAGGCCGTGTTGAGGCCATCTTGGGCAACGTTGGAGCGCTCTTGGGCCATCCTGGGCCGTCTTGGACCGTCTGCAAAGTGTCTTGCGCCATCGGGGCCATTCCGATGACCGCCAGGGCGGCCCCGAAGGCTCGCTTGGATCGGCCCGCGGCGGCCCGTTGCTCGCCTCCGATCGAGAACTGCCCAGGCGCGATGGGCGGGAGGGAGGAGAACGCAAAAACCGAGAAGCCGCCGAGCAGCAGGTTGCTCATCATTTCGGGCCGCGGCATCTGTTCCATCTCTGTGTCCTCCTCGTCCTCCCCCTCCTCCTCCTCCTCGTTCTCCTCCCCCTCCTCGCTCGTTGTTCTGTACCTCTGCCGCTGCTGCTGACGGTGCCTCCCCTTTTGGCTGCGACTGCCGTGACCGTGGCCGGCGTTGCGCGGTTACTTTTTTCTACAGCTGCGGGCCCCGCCTCGCAGCGAATCCCAGAATTCAGAATTCGGCGAACCCTCAGGGCACACTCGGCGCATGGAACTCGCCATCTGCCTCTTCCTTCCACACATCAGCAGCCTTCGAGCATGTTCAAGATGAAGGAGGGCCGCCCCGTAGGAATCTGGCTATGCCCGTCACGCACAACAATTGTACCAGACAAAAAACCCAATCAGATTTTTTGGGCGGGGCCATGGGGCCTTAGGGTTTTAGGGCTATGTGGCTGTAGGGCTAAATGGCCATGGGGATGTGGGGTTAGATGGCTTTGGGGCTCTGGGGCTATAGGGCTATAGGGGTACAGGGCTATTAGGGCTATAGTGCTGTAGGGCTATAGAGCTCTAGGACTATAGGGCTTCTGGGTTTCTGGGCTACAGGGCTATCAGGCTATAGGGCTATAGGGCTATGGGGCCATGGAGCTACGGGGCTATGGGGCTATAGGGCCATAGGGCTGTAGTGCTGGAGGGCTATAGGGCTATAGGGCTATGATGATATAGGGCTAATGGGTTACTGGGCTATTTGGTACCCCTTGGCACCCCTAGGCACCTGGGCACTCCCGGGCATTCCCGGGCACCCCTGGGCCGGGCACCCAGGCGCCCGGGCTCGGGCACCGAAGTCGGCCACCAACGTCACCTTACCTCTTGATCCGCTAGGACCCCTACAGAGGCAAGCTGTGATTGGGGAACTTCCGAGCAGAGAGTGCTCGACAAGGAGCCGCCGTTATGGTAGGGATCAGCACGTGCCCGAGTGCTGACCCCTACCAGAACGGCTCTCGGGCCCCGGGAAAGCCGGCAGCGAAACAATTGGTGGTGCTCGTTGCTGGGGACGCTGCTGATTCTCCGGCCGCTGCCGCTCCAGCGGCAGCTGCCGCTCCTCCTCTTCCTACGTCATCTCGACCTCGTCTTCCGCTCCTCGCGCTTCCCATCGATGCTGTCGTTCTTACTTCCGGTGCCTGACTGCGCGGGATGGACCTGCAGGCATCCGGCTCGGCGGGGCGCCGCCAGGCGTTGCATCGCTACCCTAGCTACGCGGACTGCGCTGTGCCCCTCCGGCGAAAAGGTCTTCCGCCTCGAGGAGGCCAGGGTGGTGGTGAGCGAAGTCTACCCACCTAAGTGCCCTGCCTTGCTGCGGACAGCGCCGCTTTCGTCGCGCCGCCTGTGCGAGGGAGGCGCCAACGAAACTTTCATCGATCGACTCCGACAAAGACAGCCGCGACGAGGCCCCTGACGAGCAGGGCGAAGTCGGGGGGGAGGTCGCGGGAACGGCGGAGAAAGAAGAGAAAGAAGACAGAGAGAGAAGCAGGACAGGAGGGAGGGGGCGGGGAAGGAGGAGGGCAGGGCGGTGGAGGAGCAGCGGGGCGGGGACGCGGGGGGGAGAAAGGGGAGCTGCCGCCGGGCTCCTGGTCTAGCCCATTGTGCGCGTGAGCGTATTTGCCATGCGCGCACAGGATGGTGGGCACAGTGCGTGGCTGGCGGCCCGTCGCTGTGGCGATGGCTCGCACTGAGCCCAATCCTTCAAAACGGCGCACGAGAGCGAGCCCAGCGCGGGACCCCGTGGAGAAAGGACAATCCGCCGCCCCATGCCAGGACCCGCGGTTGTGAGGAGTGAGAGCACCCTGCTCGCAGACACGGGGCTCATTGCTGCGACAACGTCGCCGCGGCACAGACACCGCACGACGCCGTTGCGGCACCGGACACAAGGCGACGGCGTCCGCGTCAGCGGTGCGAATCGTCGACGCATTCCACGTGCACGAGACCGAACCCATGCAGGTCTAGCGCCACTTGCAGCGCGTGGAACTCCGGCCGCCGCCGGAAATTCCCCTTCCGGCCCTGGCCCGCGGCGGCCACAGCGCCGAGTACGAACTGCAGCAGCTCGAAGAGGTCCTCAGGGGAACTCGCGCACCCAAGCCTCTCCCCACCACGCGCAGCCGCGCGGCTTCACAGGGAAGCGCCTCCCAGGGCGGCTCGTCGTTCGTGTCGTCGTCGTCGGCGTCGTCGTCGATGCCCCATCTTCGGTGTCCTCGTCGTCGTCGTCGTCGTCGCCGTCGTCGTCGTCGTCGTCGTCGTCGATGCCCCATCTTCGGTGTCCTCGTCGTCGTCGTCGTCGTCGCCGTCGTCGTCGTCGTCGTCGTCGTCGTTGTCGCCGTCGAACTTGTCGTTCTCGTCGTCGTCGGCGTTCTCGTCGTCCTCGCCGTCGTCGTCGGCGTGGTCGTCGTCCTCGTCTTCGCCGCCCTCGTCGTCGCGTTCCTCGTCGCTCCGTCGTCGTCGCCGCTGTCTCTGTCGGGTTCCCTTTCGGAGGAACCGGAAGAGGCCTGCACCCGCAGTCCTTCGCGGAGCTTCGTCGGGCGAGCGCCCGCGCGATCGGGTCCAAGACAGCCGCGACCTCCACCCTGCTGAACACCATGTGGTATGTATGCCGTTTGCATCCAGTGGGGGCGTCCAGGACGAAGGAACGCAGGTTGCCAATGGCGCCCGCGCAGGCTTGGGCCATCGGTCCCATCGCATCCCGCGGGGACGACAAGAACCGGGTCAGGAGCACAAGCCGGAAAGCGTGCAGGCGGCCACCAGGAAGCCTGGAGAGCCGCCGCACCTGCCGCCCCAGGTGAACAGACACGGCATCCTTCAGACGGTCCGTGTTCTCCCAGAAGCCCTCGCGCATGATGAAATGCGGGCTCCGGTAGGCGGGATCTGAACACCGGTCCCGCTCCGCCGCCCACTCGCCGATGGAGAGCGCGGGCTTCTCAAGCGCCGAGACGCACAGCAAGCTCGTGTTGAGGTCGGGCCAGTGCGAGACGTCGGTCGCGCCCGTGCCCTCCGCGAAGGACGGCCGAGCTCGCGTCGCCGACACCCTCGTCGTGTACCGCTTCTGGCGCAGTCTGAGAGCGCGATGGTGGCCCGCGCGCGCCCGGACGGCGCGCGTGAGAGTCGCCGCTCGGGGCTGGCTGTATCTTTTACGGATACGGGCCAGCTCAGCGTCGAATCCCACCAGCCTCTGGGCTGAGATGGTGTACAGAGTTCTGTCCTCTCTCTCTCTCTCTCTCTCGCTCTCTGCCAAGACCTCCTCTTTCCCCCGCACCGTCTTCAGACATGCATCGATGAGGCTTAAGGCGGCCCGACAACGGCACCACCACCAGGAGGAGCAGGAGGATCAGCAGAACACCAGCAGCACCAGCAGGAGCACCAGCAGCAGCACCAGCAACCACACCACCAACAGCAACAGCAACAACAACATCAGCATCGCCAGCAGCAGCAGCAGCAGCAGCAGCTTGGCAGCAGCAGCGCCACCACCAACAGCACCAGCAGCAGCACCAGGAGCACCAGCAACACGAGCACGAGCAACACCAGCAGCAGCACCACCAGAAGCAGTACAAGCGGCAGCAATAGCACCAGCAGGAAGGCCCGGGCCCTTCGCTGCCAGAGATCTCCCAAATCACCGTTTTTGCCCACATAGTTTACCACGTGCGTCTCTCCCCTCTTCTCCCGTCAGCTCTCCTGGGCATCATTCCAGGATGGGCTGTGAGGGAGTCGCGAAGCGTCAAGAATTCTTCCAAGGAGGTCGCCTTTTTGGCCGCAGCCTCGACCCTGCACAGCCGTAGCTTGCTTGGGTCTGTGCACGACACTTCCCGGACGGCGCCCTCCCATTTGTATTGCACTCTCTCGTTTCGTGCCCGTTTCACTTTCATTGCCAAGCTTCCGCCGCGAACGATTTTACGAACGGCCCTGGCAGAGACAGGCTTGAGCCAAAAGGGCATCTGAGGTATGCCGGTAGGTGGGGGCGCAAGAAGAGCGACGATGCAGAACCGGGGAGGGGAAGAGGGAGACGCTCAGCACCGACGATCTGCAACACAAAATGCGAAGAGACAGGATCCCTCGAAAACCGCGTTTGGGTAGGGATCAGCACGCGCTCGAGCCCCGATCCCTACCCAATGGGAGCCTCGCCCGCCTTTCGGGCCTCCCGCGCAGTACAATCAGGGGCTCCCGAAGACTTGGGGACAACGTCGTCGTCGTCATCGTCGTCGTCGTCGTCGTCCTCCTCCTCCTCCTTCTCCTCCTCCTCCTCCCCCTCTTCGTGGTCCTCCTCCACCCCGACCAGGGAGCCACAGCTGGTGCAAAGTGTTCTGGCTGGGGAGTTTCTTGGGAGCTCGTCGGAACCATCGGATTCTCGAGTGACGCTCTGCGGCATGCCGGCATGGGGCCGTCGCGGGGCTCCGGAGGGTGAAGAACAAGGAAAGCGGGAATTTCTGGTTTTCGTTATGATCGGATCCCTCCTGGGGGTGTCCCCGACGCGCCCCAAGAGCTTTCCTGGGCCACTTCCCCCCCTCTGTTGGATATGGGACCCAAAGAGGCCCTGAAGGCATCGAAGAGGGCTCGAACAGCGCCCCAAGAGCCGCCCAAGTCGGCCCCAGCGGAGCCCCAGGAGGGCCCAGGAAGCGTGGAAGAATGCGCGCAGAGGGCTTCCAATGTCTCCAAGAGGGCTTCAAGAGCATCCCCGGAACAATGTAACATAGGAAGGTGTCAGGGGCGGATTTTGGTGTGAGATAAATTGGCCAGGCGATTGCAGTCGAGGTTCTGCTGGCGCAGGACAGCGGGCAGCTCAGAGGACGCCCAATGAGAAGACCAGTCATAGGGAACGCCCGGGTGGAATTCAGCGGCCCGGAAATGCGCAGGCTCTTCCCACCAGAGAGCCGCCCAGTAGGGGTAGTCGGAGCGTTCAGCACCGACGTTGTATAGACAGCTCCGCGCTTGCGCGGGGACGTGGTCCTGGAAAAGGAGGATGCCCAGGTCGAGAGAATCACTCAAGGTGCGGACGTCCGTCTGCGTCCCCCAATGCATGTTTCCAGGGTGGCTGACATACTGGGATAAACACGTTCGCACATCTCGTAGGCTCCGTGCCCCGTCAGGTAAATGGAAAATGAGCTCTCTGCTTGGGCCAGCCCCCGGCTGAGCTGTAGTAGCCGCTACCCGTGCAAGCGCGCTCCCGTCAGCATGCGCTTCGAAAGCGAGAACGCTGTCGGCGTCAGCCAAGCAGCTGAGCGAGCAGCGCGACAGCCGCGCGTGAGGGTCCCACGCGTCCACGTGCATACCAGTTCGCTGCTGCATGCAGGCGGAGACCGCGTAGTCCAACACTTGCTCGGGGGACCACCGCAGGAAGATGTCGGCCGAGAGCGATCGCAAATAGCGCATCACAGAGGTTTTCCCTTCAATGAACACTTCGTCTGGGACGCAGCTGGGCCAAGACGCCAGCAAGGCTGTAATAAAGGCAGTCACCGCCGCCGCCAAACTCGACGCTGCGCAAGGAGCACGTCGCATCAGGGGCGGCGTTGGGCAATGCTTCCAGGTAAGTACGCAGATTGTCTGAAACAAGGAGCGGCTGTCCCCGTGACCACTGCAAAGCCTGCTCCTTCTCGGAGAGAGTTGCGTCGAGGAAGAAGAAACCACTGCGGGCGGCTGTTGCGCTCGGATCTCCGGGACGTGCTGTTCCACATTCGTCCGCCTCGTAGGGCGCGTGGTCTCCGTGACCTGCGTGCGGTGCAAGTGGTGCGATGCGCTGCGTGTCGACGTGGGGCCGGTGGCGAGGGGGCAGAATGCGGGTGTTGCCAGCGGGTTCTGCTGTAGCCTCGTGCCCGTGCTTCACTGCATCCTCGCACGAGGCGTCAGGCGGCGGCAGCAGTGCATCCGGTTCGGCATTGCTCTCGTCGATGAATTGGGAGAGCGTGTCCTGTGCGTGGCCCTGCTGGGTTGCCGTCAGCATTGGCGGGGGTGGCAGTGAAGGGAAGGAAGTACCTCCGGCTCATGCTGGAAGGGGCGCTGTTACAGGGCCCTTGCTGGCAGGTTCGGCGGGGCGGGGTCGGTCAGGGGGGGGCGTGGATGACAGGGGCGCGGCCGCCCAGACGACGTTGTCAGTGTAAGTGCCCGCTTCGATGCCGGGCGCGGGGTCTCGGTAGCCCTGCTGCTCTGTGGTCTCCACGTACACGCGGATATTGTCGGAGTCGCCCACGCGGCTGAGGGCGACGCACAGCTGCCCGTGGGAGAACACCGGGCAGGGAAGGTAGAGCGCGACATATTGCAGAGCTTGGCCCTGAGATTTACTGATAGTCATAGCCCATGCGAGCTTGACTGGAAATTGAAGCCGCTCGAGGACGAAGGGCAAGTCGGGGTTGTGCGGGGCGACGCGGATCCGCGGCAGGAACGCTCGAGTGCCAGCGTGGGTCCCGGACACGAGGAGGACGTCGAGAACGCGCGCCGTTATCTTCACCACTATCGCACGGACGCCGTTGACGAGGCCGTCCGCCGCGCTGAGGTTGCGCAGCAGCATGGCGACGCAGCCCGGGGCGAGTCGGAGGTCATGTGGTGGGACCCCAGCAGGTTGCAAGCTGTTCAAGAAATCCACTGGCCAGAGTGCGCGCTCCGCGGGGGAGTCGCACTGGATGGAGTCCGCGCTGAGAGACGTGACGATGGAATCGCGCGGGAACTGGCTGAGGATGGCGTCGTTCACTGCGTCTGCGGCCGCATTGGTGGGGGCGAGCACGGCGCGATAACAGAAGTATCCCCAATCTTCTCGGGCGGCGCCGGGGCGTGCTGCGCGGGCCCCGCGCTCGGCGACGTCCTCGAAAGCGGCGGCGGCCGCGTCTTGGATGGTGAACGGCTCGCGGGCCACGATGGCATCTGGCAGGCGGACGGACTGCGGGCCGACCGCGGAAGTCGCTGGCTCGAGGCCGTCCCCAACTCGAAGAAGGTATTCCTGCCGCGCCGGGCCCCCGCCCGCGCGAATGTTCTGCGTGAGTTCGCGCGCCGCGATGTGCCCGGACGTCCACAAGGGGTGCTTGGATAGCGCATGGTCCAAGATCTCCTCGCGCGACGCCCTCGGCATGACTGGTAGGACCTGTCGAAAATCGCCCCCCAGCACGAGCACTTTGCCCCCGAGCGGGGCCTCGGTGCACATGAGATCTTGGAGCAAAGCGTTGACGCACTCCAGGGCCTCGCGCGGTGCCATAGGCGCCTCGTCCCACAGGATGGCCCGGGCGTCCCGGAGATGCGCTGCTCGGTCGGAAGTCGCTGAGAGCGTGCTGGCCACATCTTCGGATGGCATGGGCACTGGCAGCCCGAACCGACTGTGGCACGTCCGTCCGCCCTCGAGGAGGAGCGCGGCGATGCCGCTCCAGGCGCGCGGCAATGCGATCTGGCCCATGCCCCGAACGTAAGCGAGAATGGTCTGGTAGAGGAACGTCTTCCCAGCCCCCCCCGGGCCGTCGACGAAAATGCACGCGGGGGTGTTGCGGGCGAGCGCCTCGGCCACCGCATCGAAGACCTGTGCTTGTGCTGGGTTAAGGGGCGCTCGTCTCCGGGACGCCTCCTCGGCATTAGCGGCGGCGTCGAACGCTAGTTCAGCCCGGCTTCCCGCGGCGCCCGTGGCCGTCGGCCCGGGCAAGCTGAAGTCGGAAAGGGATTTGCCGGCCTGCGGGAGGTCGGAAGCACTGGGGATGTCAGCTTGCAGGAGCGGGGGGAGGCGGGGGCCAAGAGGGGGGGCAGGAGCCCGAACAGCCGAGAGGAGTAGAATCACAGTGGGGGCAGGTGCATGGTTTCACGGGGCCTGCCTGCGCGAGGAGATCTGACAAGTGCACCAAGGCTAAGTTGCGGGCGTGGCCGTCCGCGTGCGTTTTGCAGAAATCGTCGGACAGGTCGGAAGCGAACTCGCGGTAGAGCTCCTGCGGCGCAGCGACGTCGCAGGAGAGCAGGATGATGGCGAAGAGAGTTCTCAAGGAGCGCGCGCCTCGGATGGCGGCCGCGTCGCGCATGGCGATCCTGTACTCGTCGTCGGCGAGAACGAGGCCGCGAGCTTGACATGCACGCCTGAAATCCACTGCTGGCGTCTCGGGCAAGGGGGCGATCGCAGCTGGAGCGCTCGGCGTCGTCGGAGGAGGCTCTGGCCCGTCTAGCGGGAGCGCCTGGTCTGGAACGGCGGCTAGATCCTCCCAGCCGGTTGCGCCAGGAACGTTCACGAGCAGGAGATGCAGGAACCGGCGCTGGTTCTCCGCGGGCGTGGCGCTGTGGAGGCGTCCGAGGACGCCTTTCGCGGGGCCAGACGCCGCGCGGCGCTTCCACCGGCCGCGGGCCTTGTCCCAAGCGAAGTACTTCGGCGCGTCCGCGTACAGCAAATCCCGAGCAACGGGGAGGCGGCCGTCAGGATCGGCGGAGTGGTGGGATTGGGGGAGGGGGGGCGGGGGGAGGATGCAGACGTGGTCGTTGAGGGCGCGGGGGGGGGGGGGGGGCACTAACAGGCATGATGGGGTGCCTTATCTGTGTCGCATCCAATGCGCGGGGGCCTGGGGAAGTAGGGCAGCATGTTGCTATTGGAGTTTCGTGGACGTCGGGGCCCCCGGGACATTCGTGCGGTGGCGGGGTCCACCTGGGGAGATCTTTGCGAGACTATTCGCCGAGCTTGGGGCTCCGGAAGAGAACCCCGCATTTGAATTCGTGTTCCTGAGAAATTGTGGTTCCCTGGCGTCCTCCTGCCCCACGCGGAAGAGGATGCGGTGCTTGTCGGGGAGATGGACTGCCAAGTGCACGACGGCGTGGGATTTGTGCTGGATGGGAAGCCGAGGATGCGCCAGACAGACTCCGAGGGCCCCACGTACCGGGCGTCGATGTACTGCTGGACCTCGTCCGTGCCAATGGAAACCAACGCTCGGTCGTGTCCCTTGTGCACGTACTTATAAGTACTTCGCGGAGCGGATTGAGGCGCAGTACTCGA